AGAAGTGATTTTAGAGAAGTAATTCACTTCTACTTATTGACTTATTTAAGAGGTGACATTACTATTGACTTATCTAAAAGTAATTTTAATAAGGATAATAGATGCTACTTTTTTTGTTTAAAGTACTTGTGAGAAAAGTCGTAAGTCCTAAAAGTACTTTTCATAAGTCATCCCAACTTGTTTGTTAGTAGTTCTTGAACACACGTTCTTGTTTAAGTTCGTTGACTATGATATATGTCTTAGATGCACGGATAATAACTCTTGTTCTCTTTTCCGGTAAGTTAGTATGAAATTGTTGTGGCGTCAATTATCTGAAAGAAAACTTTATTGTGTATTTGATCAGTGTATTGAAAAATTTAGTATCCAGTTAGATTGTCTTGACTATTAGTGTGTGTTTTTTTGGCGTATTATTATTTATGTTTTTAGGTTTGTGTATATTTCCTTGTCTATTAGTGTGTGTTTTCATGTATTATTGGTTATTTTGGTGGATTAGTGTTTGTTAATACTGTGTGTATTTTTTGGTATACTAGTGGGTATATTTTTATGGTGTATTAACGCGTGTGGTTTTTGGTTTCTTAATGCATAAATGTGTATTTTTGGTTTCTTAGATTGTGCGTGTTTGTGTTTTGTATATTATGGTGCGTATTTTGTTGGTTTTTTTTTTTTTGAAAAATTAGTGCGTGTTTTGGTGTATGGGGATATGTATGTGATTTTTGGTCTATTAGTGTGAGTGTATGTGCGTGTTTTTTGGTGGATTAGTGTGTTAACATGATGTGTGTGGTGTATATGGGTGTGTTTTTTGATGTGTTAGTATCTGTGTTTGTGTTTCTATATATTAGTGTGTGTATTTTGGTGTAGTAGTTTGTGTATTTTGGTATATATAAATATAAGAAGTTTTTAACATAGAAGTGAGTTTAGAGATGTAAATTTTTTTTTTTTTTCACTCCTACTTATTGACTTATTTAAGAGGTGAAATTACTTTTGACTTATCTAAAAATAATTTTAATAAGGATAATAAACGCTACTTTTTTTGTTTAAAGTACTTGTAAGAAAAGTAGTAAGTCCTAAAAGCACTCTTGATAAGTTATCCTAACTTGTTTGTTAGCAGTTCTTGAACATACGTTCTTGTTTAAATTCGTTGACTAGGATATATGTTTTAGATGCACGGATAATAACCCTTGTTCTCTCTTCCGGGAAAGTTAGTATGAAATTTGTGGTGTCAATTATCTAAAAG